CCCCATCTGAAATATTCATAGATGTTCATTCATTCAAATTATTTTTTTCTTTTTCTTTCTTTTTTTTTTTTTTTACTAGAAGTTTGTCCTTCTAGATGAAGAATTTCCCTAACTTATAGCATGGTTTTTCCAAGGTATCAGCTTATGATACCTGCAATTCATTCATTTATGTTTTCTCTCATTAAAATCCTAATTCTTAATAAACTATGAATTTTAAAGGACTGTATTCTATATTCATTTGCATTATGGAATTTCCTCTTTGTGGATGTTAGCATATTAAAAAATAGCTTTCTGACATTCATTTCATTCATAATGTTCCTCACCTGCACAAACTTACAAGACTTCCTGCTAAGAACTTTCATAGGGTTCACTGAATTCATAGAGTCCCTTGTGCACATGTATTGATATTTTTTGTGTGTATAGAAAACAGCGTTCCACATGCCACATATACATGGTGTACAATGAGATGATTCCATTTACAGAGTTTCTCTCCCGTACAAATTTTCTGGGAATTCCTGTGACTTGACTTTTGAGAGAAAGTTTCTTACATTTACTTCACCAATATGTTTCTCATCTGCATGAGTTCTCTGATGCATAATGAGCTGTGACTTCCAACAAAAGGCCTTCCCACATTCACTGCACTTACAGGGTTTCTCTCCTGTATGAGTCCTCTGATGTGCACTGAGAATTGATTTCTGAGAGAAGGTTTTTCCACATTCACTGCATCCATAGGGTTTCTCCCCTGAATGAGTCCTCTGATGTACAATGAGCTGAGACTTCCTAATGAAGGCTTTTTCACATTCGTTGCATTCATAGGGCTTCTCTCTTGTGTGCATTCTCTGATGTACAATGAGCCGTAATTTTCCACTGAAGGACTTCTCACATTGACTGCATTTATAAGGGCTTTCCCCTGCATGAGTGCGCTCGTGTACAATGAGTAGCGACTTCCAAATGAAGGCTTTCCCGCATTTGTGGCATTCATATGGTTTCTCTCCAGAATGAGTTCTCATGTGTATAATGAGGTATGACTTGCTACTAAAGGCTTTCCCACACTCACTGCACCCATAAGGTTTCTCCCCAGCATGAGTTCGCTGATGAGAGATGAGCTGATCTTTTCTATTAAAGGCTTTCCCACATTCACTGCATTCATAGGGATTCTCCCCCGTGTGAATTCTCTGATGTACAATAAGTTGTGAATTGAAACTGAAGGATTTCCCACATTCACGGCATTCATGTGGTTTCTCTCCTGTGTGAGTCCTCATATGTATGATGAGGTAGGACTTGCTCCTAAAAGCTTTCCCACATTCAATGCATCCATAGGGTTTCAACCCTGTGTGACTTCTCTGATGTACAATGAGCTGTGACTTCAAACTGAAGGCTTTTCCACACTGATTACACCCATAGGGTTTCACCCCAGTGTGTGCTCCCTGATGTACAATAAGCTGTGACTTGAAAGTAAAGGACTTCCCACATTCACTACAACCATAAGGTTTCTCTCCTGTGTGGGTTCTCTGATGTACAATAAGATTGGACTTTGTGTTAAAGGCTTTCTGACATTCACTGCATTCAAAGGGTTTCTCTCCTGTATGAGTTCTCTGATGTATCACGAGCTGTGACTTCAAACCAAAAGTTTTCCCACAGTCACTACATTCATAGGGCTTCTCCCCTGCATGAGTTCTCTGGTGTGAAATGAGCTGGTATTTCCGACTGAAGGCTTTCCCACATTCACTGCATTCATAGGGATTCTCCCCTGTGTGAATTCTCTGATGTACAATAAGTTGTGAATTGAAACTGAAGGATTTCCCACATTCACTGCATTCATGTGGTTTCTCTCCTGTGTGAGTCCTCATATGTATGATGAGGTAGGACTTGCTCCTAAAAGCTTTCCCACATTCAATGCATCCATAGGGTTTCACTCCTGTGTGACTTCTCTGATGTACAATGAGTTGTGACTTCAAACTGAACGTTTTTCCACACTGATTACACCCATAGGGTTTTACCCCCGTGTGTGCTCCCTGATGTACAATGAGCTGTGACTTGAAAGTAAAGGCTTTCCCACATTCACTACAACCATAGGGTTTCTCCCCCGTGTGGGTTCTCTGATGTACCATGAGGTTAGACTTTGTATTAAAGGCTTTTTGACAAGCACTGCATTCATAGGGTTTCTCCCCTGTATGAATTCTTTGATGTATAATGAGTTGTGATTTCAAACCAAAAGCTTTTCCACAGTCATGACACCCATAGGGTTTCTGTCCTGAATGAGTTCTCTGGTGTGAAACAAGGTGGTCTTTCCTACTGAAGACTTTCCCACATTCACAGCATTCATAGGGATTCTCCTGCGTGTGAATTCTCTGATGTATAACAAGTTGTGAATTGAAACTGAAAGTTTTCTGACAAACACTGCATTCATGTACTTTCTCTCCTGTGTGAGTTCTCTGATGAACAACGAGGTAGGACTTGCTGCTGAAGTCTTTCCCACATCCATTACATTTGTAGGGTTTTTCTTTTGCATGAGTTCGCTGATGCACCACAAGGTATGACTTGCTGCTGAAGGCCTTCCCACAGTAACTGCATTCAAAGGGTTTTCCTCCCATACGTATTTGCTGGCATATGAGCTGTGACTTTCTGTTGGCAGTTTTTCCAGATTTATTACTTTCACAGTATTTTATCCCAATAACAGCTTGCTCATGTTTAGAATGGAAGGACGATTCCCTATGTGCATGAAACCCATTAGGATTCTTTCCGGAATAATTATTACCGAAATCTGTACTATATTTCAAACTCTTTCCATTTGTGACACATTTATGAAGTTTTTGTCTTGAAGAAACATAATCTGTACTAAGAAGACATAGTTTTCCAAATGCAGTACACTGATAGCCTTTTGACATACTTCTTAGCTTGCCTTGATTTTCCTTATGCCATTCCATATGACCATCAATTTCCCAGACTTCGTCTAGAAATGAAAATACTCATATGTTATAAATAGTAACATGATCCTAGTATAGCATAAAATTGCCTTAAAAATGCCGTATCATGAGGTTTTTCTTAGTTTCAGATATCAGTTCTGAACGTAAATAAAATCTCAAGTGTAAATGTACCCAAACTCCTGGGCACTCGGGAAAACAAAGCAAATCAAAACATGTAAGAGACAAAGGGAACTGACAATAAATAAAGGTAGTCTTGAGTTTCAAAATTTTGCAAAATGCCTTCTTTAGAAAGCAAAAGAGAAATGAGCAAAACAGAAAGAGGTGGGGTCTTCCCTGGTGGCACAGTGGATAAGAATCCGCCTGCCAATGCAGGGGACATGGGTTCGAGCCCTGGTCCAAGAAGATCCCACATGCTGCAGAGCAACTAAGCCCACGTGCCACAACTACTGAGCCTGCGTTCTAGAGCCTGCGAGCCACAACTATTGAAGCCCATGTGCCACAACTACTGAAGCCCATGCACCTTGAGCCCATGCCCCGCAAAAGGAGAAGCTACTGCAATGAGAAGCCCGCACACCATAAGGAAGAGTAGCCCCCGCTCGCCACAACTAGAGAAAGCCCGCATGCAGAAATGAAGATGCAATGCAGCCAAAAATAAATAAATTTATTTATTTATTTATTTTAAAATATATATATATATAAAGAGGTGGGAAAGGATCTCTGAGCATTAGCTTCATTTGACTAATAATCGTTAAATATCTATCATGTGCCAAACACTGTGCTAAGTTCAGGAGAAAGAGCAGAACCACTGCAGATTGGTTTACAGTCCTCTTGGGAATAAAGTTCCACTGAATACCCAAATAGATGAAAATAAACTCACAAGAAACATCATCGAGATGTTTCAGAACACTGACAAGCAGCAGCTAATAAAACTTCCAGAAAAACCAAAGAAGTTTCATAAAATGGGTCAAAATTTAGAATGGATCTAACTACTCATTAGCATCACTAGGAGAGAAAAAACAGCACTCAGGAGTAAAGTATAAACATTTTCAGAGGCACAGGTCTCAAATTTTATATCAAATGCACCCTTTCACAGGAAGCTACTATGAAAGGTGTTCCTTTCACAGGAAACTACTATGAAAACAAACCAAGCAAAAAGATGACACAAAAAAACAGAAAAGAAAATCTGAAAGGAGATTCCAGGTTAAAAACTGTACAACCAGGTCTTGAGAAAAATCAGCTTACACTGGAGCAAGTCAAAAGACATGGGAGTGATGGCACCAGGAAGATGAAATTGACACAATCACTAATTTAGCTGAATGTACCAAAAGAATATTTAGACGTGAAGAAGAGTCTGGGGTTAAATTAATTATAAATACATTAATGATAACACAGAAAACTGGGCATGGAAGTAAAACAGCTCAAGAGAAAAAATTATTTATGAACGAAAACTAGCCATTGTACACTTGCATGATTTACCTGTGAACAGAAATTACATGGTCGTAAAGATATAAAAACTGAAGACTGATCTAAGTATGAAACATTTTGATTAGGATGATGGAGGTATGGAAAGAGACAGTGTGTATATCATGGGGAGTATGAGGGGAGGACGATGAAAGAGAATTAAATCTTTACCCTTCACACTAAGTAAGTAGGAGGAAATCAAGGTGCAAGAGAATAAGTTGGTTATTTAGAAAAACATGGACGTAAATACCATAAGAAAGAGCTAAGGAGAGTAAATTGTTTTTCTGTGAGGGGAATGAAAAACAGATGGGGCAGGGTGGCCAGAATGCTTTTAAACATAAACCCAACCCAACTCCCACCCCCCAACCAAATTCCAAAAATACAAAGTGGATAGGGAACTAGACACAAGACTAAGTCCTCAGTCATAATCAGAAATATTTGGAGGTTGAACAGAAGAGAGAATGGGTAGAGTTGACCTAGATGTCCCAAAGTAATATGTTGACCAAGGCAATGGACAGAAAAGGGTATTAAGAGAACACAGAAGCAGGTCAGATTTGAAGATAGCAACATCACAGAATCTTAATACCTCATTTCAGGTTTCCCTACATCCTAAATCTGAACCGTCTTATTCATTTTGTACACAACCTCCAAATTATATTTTCCCAAACATCAATTCCCAACTGGAACAGTACCCACCCCCATGCAGTGAGAAATGAACAGGAGCATGTTTGACTATTACAGTGGCTTTGGAGGGAGCATTACTGGCTATTACTGGGTTGGCCAAAAAGTTCCTTTGGTTTTTAAGTAAACATAAAAGATACATTTTCCATTTTCACCAAGAACTTTACTGAACAACATATCAGCCATTTTGGGTTTTTTTGTTTGTGGTACGCGGGCCTCTCACTGTTGTGGCCTCTCCCATTGCGGAGCACAGGCTCCAGACGTGCAGGCCCAGCGGCAATGGCTCATGGGCCCAGCCGCTCCGTGGCATGTGGGACCCTCCCAGACCGGGGCACGAACCCATGTCCCTGGCATCAGCAGGCGGACTCTCAACCACTGCAACACCAGGGAAGCCCTCGCCATTTTGTTCCACTACCTTCTGCCAGATTTCAAGCAACTTCATAATTCCATCTTTCCAAAACGTTTTGTCTTTTTGAGCAAAGAACTGTTCCAGGTGCCTTTTACAGTCTTCCAGGGAATTAACATTTTTTCCATTAAGAGAATTTTGTAAAGACTGAAATAAATGGAAATCCAAAGGTGCATTGTCTTGTGAATATGGCAGATGAATCAGAACTTCCCAGCCAAGCTGTAACGGTTTTTGCCTGGTCATCAAAAAAACATGCGGTCTTGCATTATCCTGATGGAAGATTATGTGTTTTCCATTGAGTGAATTTCTGGATGTTTTTTTGTCGAGTGCTGCTTTCCGTTGGTCTAATTGGGAGCAGTACTTGTTGGAAGTAATCATTTGGTTTCCCAGAAGAAGCTCATAATAGAGGACTCCCTTCCAATCCCACCATATACACAACATCATCTTCTTTGGATGAAGACCAGCCTTTGGTGTGGTTGGTGGTGGTTCATTTCACTTGCCGCACGATCTCGTCCGTTCCACATTATGGTACAGTATCCACTTTTCATTCGCCCATCACAATTCGTCTTAAAAACTGAACATTTTCATTACATTTAAGTAGAGAATCACATTTGAAAATATGATCAAGAAGGTTTTCTTCGCTTAACTTACATGGAACCCAAACATCAAAGCAATTAACATAACCAAGCTGGGGCAAATGATTTTCAACCCTTGATTTGGATTTGGATTTTGCATATATCAGCTATCTCCCTTGTGATATAATGTTAATTGTCCTCAATTAAGGTCTCAATTCGATTGCTATCAACTTCAACTGGTCTACCTGACAGTGGAGCATCGTCCAGAGAGAAATTTTCAGCATGAAACTTCGCAAACCACTTTTGACATGTTAGATCAGTCACAGCCCCTTCTCCATATACTGCACAAATCCTTTTCTGCATTTCAGTTGCGGTTTTACCTTTCTTGAAATAATACAGTATAATAGGCCAAAAATGTTGCTTTCTTCCATCTTCAATATTAAAATGGCTACACAAATATTCACCAATTTTGATAATTTTTTTTTAGTGCACGCCGATACGACAGCTGTCCCAATACAATCTAACAAAACTGTTTCAAATGAAGTTAAAGACAACTAAGTGCTACTAGAGCCATCTTACGGAAAAAACCGAATGAACCTTTTGGCCAACCCAATACATGGTCTTAAAGTCAGACATGTTTCCATCAAGAAGACAACAGGCCAGTGAGTAATTAACCTTTGCCCTCAAAGGTCATATTTGCTCATGTTTGGCTGTCAGTGTTGTCCCTGTAGACTCTGAAAGTTCATGGATACTGAATCTGTCAGTTTCTGTACTTCACCCTTCCAATCCTTCTGTTGCTGGCACCACACTCCTGCTTATTTTCCCTTGGTTCCCACATCTCTGGCTTCCTTCATTTCATTTCCCAGGAAATCTAATGTATTTGCTGTTGAGCATTTTCTTTACAACAATAATTGCGGGAAATTAATCATTGCTGGTATCTCAAGGAAGAACACAAAAAATTCAAGAAATAAGGACAGAATACCAGAGCCAGTGAGTAGAAGACAGGAATTCACAAGATTAAAGATTATTTAAACATGATTCAAGACTGTATTAAACATGATTACTGGCTGTGGCCCATCATGAGTTTAGCCACAGAAGACAATGGAAGAGGAAATCATGCTAAGCCAGCAGAACCCGGGCTCACCAGGCCACGGCCACAGCAGGAAGCCCCGGCACAGCCTGCCCAGCCCGGGTTCCAATGCTTCCCTGTTGTGCCACTCCTGCTGCTCTCCCAGAGCGAGGTTCCTGTTGTACCCACCCTGCACTTCTCTCTGCCACTCTACCTGTCTGGCTGGTTGTATGTGGATAACTTATCTTTAATTATAGATCACCAGACCATGAAGAACCACCACGTCTGATTAGAAACAAGGATCCTAGACTTGCATTAATATACTAGAAGAATGACAAGAGGGGTGATAGAATATTTTTGAAGATGAATGGATGGAAAGAAGGGTGTGACTGGATGATGCCTAACCAAAGAGGTAGATGGAGGTGGACAGTGCTGCCTACCCAGCCGTTCTGCTGCCCTTTTCCTGGCTGGCAGACACCTGATCTTATTTCCTACTTCCATTTGTAAGGCCATGTGCTGCAGTTAGGAAAATGGGACCCACTTCCATACCCCTGCCGAGAGTGAAGCATGATAGAGCTGAGCCGACAGTGATGGCCCCGTTTCCCTCACCAGAGTCTTCTTTCCACAGGGATATGTGATAACAATCTAGCCTCTGCTCAACATGGTAAGTCTGCTGGGGCTTCCTGAAATAGATTTTAATGCCTGATTAAAAGGGCCATGTGGGAAGAAACAGTCTTTCTTATTCCACTGCCCACTGGTATACCTGCAGGTGTTGGCTGGAACTGTAAGAGGCATCTGATGACCATGAGGGGAGGAAATCTGAGAAATACTGACATAGTTAGAATGGCGAGGCAGAGATAGACGTTTGGGGATTTAGTAAGTCAAGCAGTCCCACATCAGGACATTTTCTGATGTGTGGTAATAAATCACTTCTGCCTAAATAGTTTGATTTAGGATTAATCAAAAATTGCAGCTGAAACAATCCTAATAATACAAAGATTAACTGTTGATTTATCCTGTCACACTTATGACAGAATATATAGTTGCTTAGGGAAATATATCTGACAGTAACATCAGGATGAACTCACAGTATAAAAAGAGTAAAAGGTATAAATTTGGCTAATAAGTAGAACAAGCAAGAAATGAAATAATGGAATTCCCTGGCGGTTCAGTAGTTAGGACTCCATGCTTTTACTGCCAAGGGCCCGGGTTCAATCTCTGGTCAGGAACTAAGATTCCATAAGCCGTGTGGTGTAGCCAAAAAAAAAAAAAAGAAAAAAAAGAAAATATTGGGAATTATCTCATTCCCAATGAGAAGGAGGTGGGAATTGAGAAGATGGAGGCCTTAAAAGACTTATTTTTGAAGGACCAAAATACTAACAGATTATAGCAAGACTAGCGAAGAGAACTGCATAAAAAGGATATTTAGGCTCACGCCCCAGTGCCAGGAAGAAGAACCAGGAGCACAGCAGAACCAACAAACAGGAAGGTGAGAAGAAGTTATCATACAGCTACGGGGCAGCAGAAGAGACATTCCAATTCCAGTTTCTGAAAAATGAGACAAGGGAGTGGCCCATGCAGGGAAGATGTCCCGTGGGACAATCAAACCCAGTACCAAAGGACAGGTGAAAAAGGGATGGGGCTGTCAGTCACCAGTACAGAAAGAAAAAGCTTAAATCTTCAGAGTGGAAGTCTTTTAAAATTTACAATATACGAGGAAAGTGGGGAATATAAGAAAGACCCCTTTGGACTCAGAGGAAAGAGCATGCGAGGGCAGTAAAGCATGAGGAGAATAAGCACTGTGTCGTGCAGTGTGAGAGTGGGTTCCATGGGGTTCACTTGAGTAAGGCGTGGGGGAAAGGCTTCAGGCAAGAGAACTGATATTATCAAATGATGCAGGAATACACTCAGAACAGTGATGACAAAACCATTAGGAAAGAGAAGCAGAAAGGGTAGAATCTCCTAACACATAGGTTTCAAGGAGAAGGAAATTGGAATTGTGTTGAATATGAACGTAAGTAATTTTAGAAAAATAGAAAAAAAGTAGAAGGGGTGTGAAAGTCACATGAAAAGAGATAAAGAGGAAACGCTTGCTTAAATGTGTAATGAAATGCATCTATCACCACGGGAAAGTAAGAAGGAAGCTGAGAATGCCACAGAGGAGATTAACTAAGAGACAATGGTTACAAATGACCCAAAAGTACAAACACAAAGGGAACATCACGTCAGAACTCACACCAATTCTGAGTAAGGAGGAAAAGATCTAAATGTCCTGACGACTCACCCATATGGCCCTCACTTGGAATTTGCATCATCCACAGCTCTTCTTGTTCCAACTGGAAAATGATACTCGGTTTGGTGTGTTGATACCCTGTGAATAGAAAATCACAGACAACCTGGCCCCAAACTGCCTAGGGATTCAGCAGAATGGGGAAGACCCGGTTTAGAGGCGGCGTGATGAAGCTGCCCTTTTGCACTTTGGCAAAGTAAACACCATTCAACCAGCAGATTCTGATGCCAAAGGGAGAATAAGAAAATGTGGCCTCTAAATATAAGCCCCAAATCACCAAGTATTGTACAAAAGTGCCCCAGCTTTCAGCAACTAACAAGGGGAAGCCTGGAGATGACACACCCACACTCCTTTCAGGGAGGTGGTACTTACCCAGGGACACCAGGTTGCTATAGTTCTCCAACATCACACTCCTGTACAGGTGCTTCTGAGCTGGGTCCAGCAGCTGCCACTCCTCCCAGGTAAAGTCCACAAACACATCCATGAATGACAATGGTCCCTGAAACAGCATATCCCCATTCAACTGCAAATCATTTGACTGAGTTTGTAGTAGACAAAAGGCTGCTAAGAGTGTCCATTATTTACATTCTACTTTGGGAGAAAAGCAAACGTTTACTGAAAATATCCCATCAATATGCATTAAATCAGTCAACCTCTCATGCAACATATAAGAATACCGTGTGCCAGGTATTCAACTACGTGCAAGTAATATAAAATGGATGAAAGACAGAAGTGTTCAGCATTGCAGAGAACAGCAAAGATTAAACCCATAAAAATGTAACAGGCAGTCAAAGATGCTATGAGAAAAGAACATGCAGAGAACATGGGCACAAAGGGGGAAGCAAGCAATGCTGCTTGAATGCACCAGGAGCTACCACTGAAGAGAAGACGTTAAAATTTCGTGAAATAAAAAAGGCAACAGCTGTAAATAGCAATCACGGTGTGGGGTGACCGATCTGAACATGAAGATACATTGATGGTAAATCAGCATACGAAAAGATGCTCAGCATCATATATCATTAGGGAATTGCAAATTAAAACAGTGAGACACCATTACACATCTAGAATGGCTACAATTTTCAAAAATGAACACCAAATTTGGAAGTAAAATTCCAAATTTGGTGAAGACATTAATATAAACATCTAAGAATCTGAACAAACTCGAAAAACAATGAACTCAAAGAAACACACATGCTCAAATTTTCAATAGACAAAGAGAGAACCCTGAAAGCATCAAGAAAACAATGACTTGTTTCCTACAAGGGCTCCTCAGTAAGATTATAAATAGATTTCTCATCAGAACCTTTGGAGACCAAAAAGGAATAAACCCATATATTCAAAGAGCTAAAAGAAAAGTAAACTACCAGCCAAGAATCCTATATCTGAGAAAACTGTGCTTCAAAAGTGAGGTAGAGGGCTTCCCTGGTGGCGCAGTGGCTAAGAATCCGCCTGCCAATGCAGGGGGCACGGGATCGAGCCCTGGCCCAGGAAGATCCCACGATCCCACATGCCATGGAGCAACTAAGCTCGTGGGCCCCAACTACTGAGCCTGCACTCTAGAACCCATGCTCTGCAACAAGAAAAGCCACAGTAATGAGAAGCATGTGCACTGCAATGAAGAGTAGCCCCCACTCGCCACAACTAGAGAAAGCCCACATGTATCAATGAAGACCCAACGCAGCCAAAAATAAATAAATTAATTAATTAAAAAGTGAGGTAGAAATGAAGACATTCCCAGAAGAACAAAAGGTAGTTTGCTACCACTAGACCTGCTTGTCAAGAGATGCTCAAGGGAGTCATGTACGTGAAATAAAAGAACACTAGACAATATCTTGAAGCTGTTTGAAGAAATAAAGATCTGAATGAAGGTAAATATCTCGGTAATTATAATTGTAGTATATTTGTGCCTCTACATTTCATTCTCTACATAACTATAAGAGACAAATGCATTTGAAATAATTATTAGTTTACATTTCGGAGCACAAAATGTATAAAGATGTAACTCTGAGACATCAGCAATCAAAAGGGGTGGGACAGAGCTGTAAAAGAGCATAGTGTTTATATGTTATTGAAGTTAAGCTGGTATAAATTCAAATCAGAATGCTCTAACTTTAGGAAGTTAAATGTAATCCCACAGCAACCACAAAGAAAATAGTTATAAAACTTACACAAAAAGGAAATGAGAAAGGAATTTAGACATTTCACTATAAAAATTCAACTAATCACAAAAGACAGTGATTGCAGGAACTGAAGGACCAAAAAGCTATAAGGTATAAAGAAAATAGCAAAATGACAGAAATAAATCCCTTCTTATGAGTAATTACTATAAGTGTAAATCAATAAAATTCTCCAGTGAAAAGACAGAGTTTGGCAAAATGGATTAAGAAACATGATTCAAATATGCTGTCTGTAAGAAACTCACTTTAGATCCAAAGACACAAACAGATCGAAAGTGAAAAGATGGATAAAGATATTCCACACAAGTAGTAACTGAAATAGAGCAGGGGTGGCTATACTAACATCAAACAAATCAAAAAGGTTGTAAGAGACAAAGAAGGAAATTACATATTATTAAAGTTTCAGTACAGCTAGAAGATAGACAATTATAAGCAGTTACACCTAATAACAAATCATCAAAATATATGAAACAAAAACTGACATAATTGAAGGGAGAAATAGTTTTATAATAATAGTTGGAAACTTCAATATCCCACTCCTGATAATGCATAGAACAATCAGAAAGAAAATAAGGAAACAGAATTTAAATAAACTTCTTCTAAGAGACATATACAGAATATTCTACCCAAGAACAAAATATACATTCTTCTCAGGTACACATGAGACATTTTCCAGGACAGACCATATGTTAGGCCACAAATTAAATCTCAATAGATTTAAAAGATAAATATCATACAAAGTATCTTCTCTGGCCACATAGAATGAAGTTAAAAATCACTAAAAGCAGCAGAAAAAAAGGAAAATTCACAAATTTGTGGGAATTAAATAACATGGTCTTAAACAACCAATGGATCAAACAAATCAAAAGGGAAATTAGTAAATACTCAGACATGAATGAAAACAAAACACAACATAAAGTTGTTGGGATGCAGCAAAAGCAATGTTAAGGGGAAATTTTACAGTTAAAAAAACATATTTAGGGGCTTCCCTGGTGGTGCAGTGGTTGAGAATCTGCCTGCTAATGCAGGGGACACGGGTTCGAGCCCTGGTCTGGGAGGATCCCACATGCCGCAGAGCAACTAGGCCTGTGAGCCACAACTACTGAGCCTGCGTGTCTGGAGCCTGTGCTCCGCAACAAGAGAGACCGTGATAGTGAGAGGCCGTGCACCGCGATGAAGAGTGGCCCCCGCTTGCCACAACTAGAGAAAGCCCTCGCACAGAAATGAAGACCCAACACAGCAAAAATACATAAATTAATAAACTCCTACCCCCAACATCTTCAAAAAAAACCCAAACACATATTTAAAACAAGAAACATCTCAAATCAATGATCTAACTTCACAACTTAAGGAAACAGAAAAAGAACAAATTAAACACAAAGGTAGCAAAAAGAAGGAAATAAGATTAGAATACAAACAAAATAGAAACTAGAAAAACAATAGGAAAAAAAATCAATGAAACCAGAGCTTAGTTCTTGAAAAGATCAACAAAATCTGATAAACCTTCAGGTAGCTAGACTGCGAAAAAAAAAAAAGAGAAGACTAGAATTACTTAAATCAAGAATGAAAGTGGGGAAATTAGTACTGATTCTACAAAAATAAAAATGACTATTGGAAAGTACTATGAACAATTGTATGCCAACAAATTGGATAACTTAGTTGAAAGGAATGAATTCCATTTGTGCTTCTGTCAAGATCAAATCACAAAGAAACAGGAAATCTGAACAGATCTATAACTAGTAAGGAGATTGGGTCTGTAATAAAAAATCTTCCCCCAAAGGAGAAAAGCCCAGGCTTCACTGGTGAATTTTAACAAATATTTAAAGAAGTAATAACATCAATCTTTCTCAAGCTTTTCCAAAAACCTAGAGGAGGGAACACTTCCTAAGGCTCTGATACCAAATACAAAGCCACTGTAAGAAAACTACAAACTAATATTCCTCAAGAACATAGATGCAAAAATCTTCAAAATAATAGCAAATCAAATTCAGCAGCTTATTAAAAAGATCATACACCATGACCAATAGGAATTATTCTCGGAATGCAGGATGGTTCAACATTTGAAAATTGCTCAATGCAATACATCACACTAACAGATGAAGTTAAAAGAATGATTATCTCGATGCAGATTACCTCAATTGAAGCATCTGACAAAATTCAACTCTCTTTCGTGATAAAAACACTCAACAAAGTAGAAACAGAAGGAAAGTACTTCAACATATTAAAACCCACATCTTAAAAACCCACAGTGAACATCATACTCAATGATGACAGACTAAAAGCTTTTCTTCTAAGATCAGGAATGAGGCAAGAATGCCTGCTTTCAAGACTTCCCTCGTGGTCCAGTGGTTAAGAATCTGCCTTCCAATGCAGGGGACGTGGGTTCAATCCCTGTTCAGGGAACTAAGATCCTGCATGCCGCAGGGTAACTAAGCCCACACACTCTAGAGTCCACGCACCACAACTAGAGAGAAGGCTGCGCGCCACAATGAAAGATCCCACGTGCTGCAACTAAGACCCAATGCAGTCAAATAAATAATTTTTTTTTTTTTTAAAAAAGGAATGCCTTCTTTCTCCACTTCTATTCAACATAGTGCTTCAAGTTCTTGCCAGAGCCATTGGGCAAGAAAAAGAAATAAAAGGCATCTAAATTAGAAAAGGAGTAAAATTATCTCTGTTCATGGACAATATCTTCCTATACATAGAAAATCTTAAAGATTCCACACACACACACACACACACACACACACACACACACACAAAACCTAGTTAGAACAAATGAATTCAGCAAATAACAGGATACAAAGTCACACACCAAAATCGGGTGCATTTCTATACACTAACAATGACCAATCTGAAAAACAAATTATGAAAATGATTCCATTTATAGCATCATCAAAAAGTAATAACTGAACCTAGGAGGTAAATGACTTGTAGAATGAAAACTGAAAACCTTGCTGAAAGAAATTAAAGAACACATAAATAAACAGAAACATACCCTATGTTCCTTAATATTAAAATGTTAACACTACCCAAAGTGATCTACATATTCAATGCAATCCCTAATAAAATTCTGACGATGTTTTTTGCAAAAATAGAAAAACCCACTCTAAAATGCATATGGAAGCTCAAGGGACCCTGAATAGCCAAAACAATCTTGAAAAAGAACAAAGCTGGAGGACTCATACTTCCTGATTTCAAAACTTACTACACAGGACTTCCCTGGTGGTGTAGTGGTTAAGAATCCTTCTTCCAATGCAGGGGATGAGGGTTCCATCCCTGGTCAGGGAACTAAGGTCCCACATGCTGCAGGGCAACAAGG